AATGTTTCTCGATAGAACCATTGATGCCAATAAAGAACAATCATTGTTAACAGTAAATTTTCTTTTGGTAACATTCATTCATTCACCATTTACTTTTTTTTCGGCTTAGTCCCTTTATCAGTCTGGGGTCATCACAGCAGAATGAACCGCCAACATATTCAGCATATGTTTTACGCAGCAGATGCCCTCCAAGCTGCAACCCATCACTGGGAAACATCCATGGACACTCATTCACACACACACTACAGACAGTTTACCTTGCAATTCACCTATAGCGCATGTCTTTGGTAGGGGAAACAGGAGCACTTGGTGGAGTTTGAAATACCCACCCATCACTAACAAAGGTCCAGAATTGTCTTGTACATGAGTTCATTTGTCCTATTTTGTTTGCTATGCCATCATAAAATTAAAAGCTTTAAGACCAAGCAGAATCCGCTGTTGGCTGTGGTGACTTCAACTAATCAGTTTTGGCCAATGCAAACAAATATTAATTATTTTCATGAGTTCAACATCCAGCTGTGCAAGAATACATACAATTTGAGTGAAGTGAAGTCATCTTTTACTACTGACCTTTGGTTTTTAAATAGAGAAAATGATAACACTTTATTTTGATGGTCCATCTGAGTATTAGTAGACTGTCTGCTTATCATCTGCTGATACTGCTCCTTCAACAGACATTTAACTGACTATAAGAAACTTTGCAAGTACATGTCAACATACATGAACCCTAACCCCAACCTAACAGTCTTATAATCTAATGAGATAGTTAGCATTTAGATGCAATGTAACTGAAACGGACCATCAAAATAAAGTGTGACCGAGAAAACAAATAACATTTATTCTAATTTTTAGACATTGTTCTTGAAACAAAAAAACAAAAAACAAACAAAAAAAAACAATAAAAGCAGCAAATATTAAAATGAATTTAAATACTAATTTGGCTAATGTTGTTATCCAGGAATTTTCAAATGTACTTTTTGACAAGACAGCCTATAAAATAGTTTAAAGCTCTAATATTATTACTGTTTTATTTATTTATTTTAATAATTCAAATTCTGACTGAGGAAAGTTGAATGTTCTGGCCAGTTTTTAATTTAAAATATTAACAAATTCCTGTTTTTTCCTAATAATTTGTAATAAGTTTTGATTTTAAAAACAAGTTTGGTTTTTTTTTTTTTTTTTGGGGGGGGGGGGGGGGGGGTATATTTCTTTATTCTAAATCTTTAGGAAATATTTTTGGTACATCAAAAACTGTGATTTATTATGACCACCCAACAAGCTAATCCATCTAAAGAGGTGCTTAAATGTCACTAATGCAAATGCAGTATTTAAATTTCATAAGTAAATTAAAAAATAGGCAAATAACGGCAAAAAGGTACACATTTTGAGACAAAAAATAAAATAAAAATACCCCATTTGTCCAGGCTGGCTACAGGTCTGTTCTGTAACAATCTATGCATTAACCGCGCTACATATTAGTTCCAAAAAATGTGACCCCTATGAATGCTTTTGTGGTCGCGGGTCACACATCATGTTCCTATGAAGTTCATCAGTCTGATCTGATCTCTTTATTTGTAGATTCTCAAGAACGCCGCCGCTCTTAATTCCCACCTTCATATGTAGCCCAGATTAATCACCGTTCACCGTGAACGTGTTCTCCGCTCGGCGCGTGCCCTTGTCCCTTTGTCACAGCCGTGAACCCGCACGCTGTGTTTTTAATCAAAGAGCACCGCGCCAGACCCAGCACGAGCCTCCCGCCGAGCCCAGAGGATGCAGCCGAGCAGTGGGGCGGCGGTAACGGATGAGCGTTAAGCCGGGGCCGGAGATATTTAAGAGGAGCTAATTGTGAGAAGTACTGGAGCACGCGGAGAGAGACCGAGCGATGCCCCGCGCCCGCGGTCGGCTGGATGGCGGTACTTCATCACTGCTTCCAGAACAGGTAATTAAGGAGCCACCTGCCGAGCCGCACCGGAGAGACCTGATCTACCGGAGAGCCGCGCACTGGGCCCTGCGGCAAGCCGCTCCAATCAAAGTATTATCACTCATTTTGCAGAAATCCACCTCTCCTCCCTCCGTCCAGAACACTAGGCCTGCTTTATTTATTAAGACTAAATGTCACCTCAAGAGAGAGAGGCGGGATTACTCTGTCATCTGGCTTTGAATCCACGCCATCTTTAGTGGAATTTTAAAGAGACGCTACACCGTTCAAATGAAGGGCTAGTCTTGCTTATGTGTTTCTGCCAGGACTGCAATCCTGACATTCCACTAAAGGGCAAAAAACAGATGCAAAAACTACCTATATTATGGATAGCATATCACAGAAATGTTTTATGAATGCGTACACTCAAAAAATGGTTTGCTTTTTGTTCAACAAGTTCAATAAATTTGCTACTTACTTAAAATGAGGTAAAAATTATTGAGTTTTTTGGAAGGACAACTTAATTGTTTTATGTTCAATCCACTTCAACACAAACCGATTGTGTGGAACCATTTTTTTACAATGTTCAGTGAAAAAAAAAATCTTTGTATTTAAGGGAACTGGATGCAAACAATTTATATGGGGTGAATTTAAACAAACTAATTAAATTTAGTATTGTTCAACTTAATTTAAGTTCAGCCCATATAAATTGTTTGCAACCCAATAACTTGGTTGATAAGAAAGAATCATATTTTTCAGCATGCTTAAATATAGCCTTTTCTGATTTGTTTTATAGCTGTTTCAAGAGTTCACACTTAGCTGATGATTTATAAAAGCTTGTTTGGCATGCTGTCCCGGGAGAGAGCCCCGAGCTCAAGGGATCCTCGAGCCTGGGGCTTCCTCCCGTTGGCAGAGCCAGAGGGGAGCCTGAGCTCGGTGGATCTCAGAACTCCTCAACTGCGGTAGCTAAGGGAACAGAGGGGTTAGACAAATGCTTGATTGTTATACGTGTTGAATGTCTTTGGATGGTGGGAGGAAACCGGAGAACCCGGGGAAAACCCACGCGGACACGGGGAGAACATACAAACTCCTCACAGAAACACCCACCGGCCCTAAGGGACCAGGGCCGGTAGTGTTCTTGCTGTGGGGCTCGCAGTGCTAACCACTGGGCCGCCGTGCCGCCCAATTAGAGGTAAAGGAGAAGAATAGGGGAGGAGGGGGGTTTCTTCCAAACGTAGATAAAATGAGCTGAAAACTGTGGTTATTTATAGTAGCTTAGGGCTCATATGATTGGAAGATAGTGATAAGCAAATACGGGACCGGCCGTGATAAATCATAAGCATGTGATCCTCTCGAAATCAGTTTATGAATAAACTTCACTTCAAGAGTTCACACTTGCAATCATTTAAGAATAAGGCGTCTTTGGCGTGCTGTCCAGGGAGTGGGCTCTGAGCTCAGGGAGACACCCCAACTCGAGTTATTCCCCTTATCAGGAAACAGAGAGGAGTTGGGATTCGAGCGAAGTATTTATCCCGGCCCTAGAACGCTTCCCCCGGGAATGTAATGCTTAAGAGGTGAGGTGTCGGGGTGGTGGAGGGATGCTAAAGTTGTGAGATGCTGAAGCAGGTAAGACAGCCTTGGTATATATAGAGGTTTGGTCAAGAACTGATTTGATAATAGAATAATTGTCAATGACGTATTCGATACTGAAACTTCTGCGCGTGCTCCTCCCAACATTTGTTTACAAAACATCACTTGTTAAAGTTAGGTGTTTGTTTAGCCACTTAAATTACATGTTGAGTAAATTCATATGATGCCAATACAATCTAAACAATGTAACAGTAAAATTCTGCTTTGTCTGTATAGACATGCAAACACTTGTTTGTAGAGCAAGTAGTTTGACTGTTCTCTGTGGTTTATTATTTGTAGTAATTTCTCCCATAGACGACTGAATCGGTATTTATTAAAAAAAAGGTATCCAAACTCGGTCCTGGAGGGCTGGTGTCCTGCAGATTTTAGCACCAACTTGCCTCAACACAGCTGCATGGATGTTTCTAGAAAGCCTAGTAAGAGCTTGATTAGCTAGCCCAGGTGTGTCTGATTGGGATTGGAACTAAACTTTGCAGGACACCAGCCCTCCAGGACCGAGTGTGGACAACCTTTTTTTTTTTAAAAAATCGCAAATAACGATTGAAGAATAAGGACAATACAGATCACTGGTTTTTGCTCTTATTTAGTGGAATGTCAGGATTGGTGTCCTGGTATCAGTGGAAGTAAAACTCATATGATGTATTGTGTGCACTATTGTGCAGTTTTCTGTGAAGAAGGGACTGAAATGCATTTGTTAATCTTGCTTGACAGTAATTGCATCATTCACTTTCAATATGAAAAACAGCACTTTGATTTTCTATAATAAAACAACTCCCAAAATGACAAAGCTATGGGCTTCACAAAACACAGAAAGATAGCAAAAGTTTAATTTTTTTTGAATTCCATCCATCCATCCCTCTAATTTATTATTTTATACTTATTATTTATCTTAAGCATTTTTTCATTGTTTTTATTTTTTTTATTATTTTCCACTGCAGAATATAGGTCTACAACTTTTTACTATGTTTCAGTTTTTAGTTTAAGCTAAATGAATATAGTGTTCAGTTAATTATAATTTTAATGTTAATTATAATGTTAATTATAATTTCTATTTTTTATTTATTTTAGTTAGTAATTTAATTAGTTTAATTTTGTCAATGTGCATACATAATTATAACTAATATAACTTATAATGTTTTGTACACACTTTTACTTTTTTTTTTAAATACTTCAGTTTTTATTATCACATAGTTTTCATATTTTTGGCTAAAAGTTTTACGTTTTAGTAATTATTTTTTGTTTGATGTTTGTTAATGTATATTTTATTTTAATTATTTTTATTTTTGTACTGTATGGCAAACAAAAAAAAATCAGCATTTAATAAACATTTTTATTTAAACCCTTTAATTTGTATACATTTTTATTTCAAGTTTGTATAGGTAGGTGGGTGGGTGTTGTTTAACCATCAGTACAAATTATGAAGTGTACATACCCATCATAGTCTTCCAAGCTGCAGTCTTTCAGAATGGACAGAGCATGGCCCTTCCTCTCAGTGACTGTGGAAAAGAAAGAGTTAATGTTTTCTTTTTTTTTAAACCACTCCAAACTGCCTTTAGTACCCTTTTCCAGGCATTGGCAAATGGCTTAAGCCGAACATATGGTCCTGGCTGTAAAGCAGAATTTATACTTGCATGCTGTTTGCATTTTTAATCAAGAATATGAGTTGCAACCGTTCTTGTCCTCGGCCTGCTCAGGCTGCACAAAACAAGGTCAAGACTTTCCCCAGTGTGCACTATATGCTGTGCAGTTTACATTACAGTGCAGTGACGTAACTTTGATATCATTTGCAAAAAAAATTCCAACAATCAGAATTAGTTTTGCTGCGATAATGACGATTACAATCTGGAATCTGACTCTACAATCTGGTACTGGTTTATCCAGGGCTGTACAGCGAGACGGAAAATCAGTCCGTGCAGTGAATAAAGGTAGTACAGTAGCAAGTGTGTGATACAGCTTTGAATGTTTACAAAGAGATTTCCTGACATACTCCTATTCCAAATTCACTTCATAACATCAGGTTTTGAAATAACTTCATAATTTAATGAATTCATGATGTGGCTTCATCTCACAGATTAAGGAAGAAAGCAAACAATTTTATTATACGCTGATAAACATTTGATTATCTTTGCATTATTTTAGACAGATGCTGATATTCAATAATTGAATTTATCATGATAATGCACATGCACATTACTGATATTGTGGCCACTTCAAAATAATGTAAATAATAATTATTTAATAATTTAAGATGACTTAATATTCATATTGTTGTGTTGGTAGTGGTGTGCAACAGAGCACCAAATGCTTAAAGTCTTGATACATGATTTATTTCCAAACATTAATATTTTCACATTAACTGTCCTACAGCACTGAAAATACTCTATTTATAGGCCTCTCAACACCCTACTTTTTGTTTAAAAGTAAAAATACAGTGCATCCGAAAAGTATTCATAGCGCTTCACTTTTTCCACATTTTTGTGTTTCAGCCTTATTCCAAAATAATTCAATTGATTTATTTCCCCAAAACTCTACACACAACACCCCATTATGACAATGTGAAAAAGGGATTTTTTTTTAAAATTGTTGCAAATTTATATATATATATATAGCTGAAAAGTCACATATACATAAGTATTCACAGCCTTTGCCGTGAAGCGCTAAATTAAACTCAGGTACATTTTGTTTCCACTGATCATTCTTGAGATGTTTCAGTAGCTTAACTGGAGTAGAACTGTGGTAAATTCAGCTGATTGGACATGATTTGAAAAGGCAAACACCTGTCTATATAAGGTCCCAGGGTTGACGGTGCATGTCAAAGCACAAAGCAAGCATGAAGACAAAGGAATTGTCTGTAGACCTCTGAGACAGGATTGTCTCGAGGCACAAGGCTGGGGAAGTTTACAGAAAAATATCTGCTACTTAAAAAGTTCCAATGAGCACAGTGGCCTCCATCATCCATAAGTGGAAGATGTTTGGAACCACCAGGACTCTTCCTGGAGCTGCCCGGCCATCTAAGCTGAGTGATCGGGGGAGAAGGGCCTTAGTCAGGGAGGTGATCAATAACCTGATGGTCACTCTGTCTGAGCTCCAGCATTCTTCTGTGGAGAGAGGAGAACCTTGCAGAAGGACAACCAACTGTGCACCAATCCACTGTATGGCAGAGTGGCGAAGGACTCTCAGACCATAAGAAACAAAATTCTCAGGTTTGATGAGACTAAAATTTAACTCTTTGGAGTGAATGCCAGGCGTTACGTTTGGAGAAAACCAGGCACCGCTCATCTCCAGGCTAATATCATCCCAACAGTGAAGCATGGTGGTGGCAGCATCATGCTGTGAGGATGTTTCTTCAGCACTAGGAACTGGAAGACTAGTCAGGATAGAGGGAAAGATGAATGCAGCAATGTACAGAGACATCCTAATTGAAAACCTGCTTCAGAGTGCTCTTGCTTAACAACTCGGTGAATGTCCTTGAGTGGCCCAGCCACAGCCCAGACCTAAATCCTATTAAACATCTCTGGAGAGATCTGAAAATGGTTGTACAGCATTGCTTCCAATCCAACCTAATAGAGCTTGAGAGGTACTGCAAAGAGGAATGGGCAAAAAATCCCAAAGACAAGTGTGCCAAGCTTGTGGCATCATATTCAAAAAGACTTGAGGATGTAATTGCTGCCAAAGGTGCATTAACAAAGTATTGAGCAAAGGCTGTGAATACTGATGTACATGTGACTTTTCAGGTGTTTTATTTTTAATAAATTTGCAAAAATTTCCAAAAATCTTTTTTCAGATTGTTATTATGGGGTATTGTGTGTAGATTTGTGAGGAAATTAATTTAATTCATTTACTGTAGAAATAAGGCTGTAATCTAAAAAAAATGTGGAAAAAGTGAAGTGCTATGAAAACTTTCCGGAAGCACTGTATACACTGAAAAAACTGTAATGCCTTATAGTCAAGTGTAACGGAGCCCACCTAGTAAGTGCTGTGCAGTTAAACCTCACTCTTCTGACCTCTAAAGGTGCTCTAGCGACAGATGCTAGAGGCCATGGTCTTTAGCCTCCTTGTTAGAGCAACCGACTCCCATGTGAAAGGTTGCCGGTTCGGAACCAGCTCGGAGAGGGTTGGGTGGCAAAGGACCGGCGGGGTTACACAAGACAACATATATTTTTGTTGCTTTACATATTTAAAATAAGTTAATCAGGTTTCGACTAAATTTTAAGTTTTACAAAGTTTTACGTAATATTTTTAATCCGTTTGATTGATGTTGAGATAACGAAATAAGCTAATTATTTAATTATTTATTTAACTAAAAACTTTAAGGCATTAAGAATATTTCATAGTGTAGATAATGCTTTTTTTGCCTCTCAGAAAAGTTTTTGCCTCTCAGTAGATATTTATGAATTATCCTCATTGATATCTTTGTCAAAATATATACTATAAACTATTGTGATCTAGTTTTACATGCTGTTTGGTCTTCCCTATTTTAGGGTCGCAGGTCAAAAAGAAGAGGGTCAGATGTGGTCAGCAGAGAGTCTGTTGGATACAGTACTGTAGGCTTGATCCAGCAGAATTGTGGATTCAGGTCTGGTGCTGCAGAAACCTCTGGCCTGTGTTGATGAAGAAATGCCAGTGAATGCGGGGGGAAGAGGGCTGGCACGCCGCAGATGGCATTGTGCGCTCCCGTGCCCCACTTAGCATTTTCTGGGGCACCTCCACCACGGAGCGGGTCCCAGCTGTGACCACCCATCAAAGGGCTCACCGAGGCTGATGTGACACTTGCAGATGGATGTTTTTGTGTGTGTGTGTGTGTGTGTTGTTGTTGTTGTTTCACAATGCACGCAGAGATGCAAGTGCTGAGTCTGCTCATTATGATACGCCTGGCTTTCTCTGGTACCAGCTCTACAACTACTGATGAACCTGCACAGCAGTGTGTGAAATTTTAAATCAGGTTTTTTTTTAAATTATTCATATTTCTAAAAAGGACGGTACAGTGGCTCAGTGGTTAGCCCTCTGTCTCACAGCAAGAAGGTTGCTGGTTTGAGTCCTAGCTGGGCCATTTGGCATTTCTGTGTGAAGTCTGCACGTTCTCTCTCGCTCTGGTTTCCCCCACATTCCAAAGACATGGGCTTGGTGAATTTGATGACCTAAATTGGCTGTAGTGTAGGAGTGCGTGTGTGTATGGGTGTTTCCCAGTACTGGGTTATGACTAGAAAGGCATCCGCTGCGTAAAATATATGCTGGAATAGTTGGTTGTTCATACCTCTGTGGAGACCCTTGATAAACAAGGAACTAAGCCAAAGGAAAATGAATAAATATTTCTGAAACATACGTGATGTGTGTGTACGTTATCACTCCAGTCTTCAGTGTCATCCTTTAGAAATCATTCTGAAAATCATATTTCGTCTTAATACCTATGTGGAAAGCTGAATATTTGCTGAGTGGTTGTTAGAAAACTTTGATCAGTTTAATGTGACACTGATGGCTAAAAGCATTCAATTGTTACAGAAAAAAAATAATGATAAAGCAAAAACATCTTACTGATCATATAAGTCAAAGACTTAAAACTCAAATGTAGTTTTGATTTGACTCATAAAAATGTTTTCTGTTTAATTATCTTTAGATTTATTTGTATATTCAATTTTTTCAAAGATTATATTAAGACTCAAAATTAATTACTAATTAATTGTAAATCTTTATACTTTGCTGTCATTCTTCAGACTAAGGTTTTACCTATTTGTCAGCAAGACGTGTTTGTAAGTGAAAATCATACAAATTATAATACAATTTTGTGTGCTCACATATTATTAAATGTATTCTACATAGAGGTGAAAATAAATGTGTCACTTAATTTTTGCATACATATATTACTTATGCTGGCTGACAATGGGACGTTTGAAACTTGTTTGAAACATTAACATAGATGTTATTTACTATGACTACTTTGATTACTTCCAGTTAATGTTTTTTTTTTTTTTTTGTATATAAAATTGAGACATTTCATCCTTGATTTATCATTAGCAACAAATAATGCATATATCATTTTCCAATTCATTTTGGACTGCATTGTACGATTCTGAATTCTGTGCATGATACTTTGAATGCACATTAGGCTGAGCACATTTACAAGCTGCATGTAAGTATGCTATTCCAGATTCTTCTCAAAGCTGACCTGTAGGGGGAGCACTTGCAAATCAGATTGGTCTTGAAGTATCATGTGGCTCTGACCTTGTCAAACATACCCACAACCCAGGCACCTTTTCTCACATCTCACCCATTGGCTGAACATCCACTATTCATTTTAGTTAAAAAAACAAACATTTCAAACAGTGCCAAATCAACAGAGCACCACAATAAATCCTAAATTTGAGTGTTTGATCAATTTTCATACTTTGGACCTTATTATTTTAAAATACACTAAAACACACTTCTAAAGGGATAACGTGACAGGAAATTCTGTCATAATTTGCACATAATTGCACACTTGTTTCAAACCTCTATGAGT